CAGCTGTAAACTGGAGAAGCTGAAGTGAGTGCAGAATAAGCATTTTACACCAAGAGAACCCATAATGCATTTCATAATAAAAACAAACAGCGTCTCCTCCTACGTCCTTATATCCTATAAACTTGTCAGCTCATTCCTTGATCCATGTTAGAAAATTTTTATCACTGAAGCAGTAAACAACCATTCATTCTTAAAACACATGCAGAAGTATTGCGTAGGTTAGCAGAGTTAATTGGATTTTTTTTTTTAAATGATGGTACAGTACTGTTGTGGTTAAACATGCTGACTTTAACATGTGTTGTGGATGAAAATATATTGGACACCAATCAATATGGGATGATTGTTAAAAACGATTTTTAGTAAATTAATTGTTTTTTAAAAAAATCTATTATATCATGGCCCATATTCTCCATATTTGAATGCAGTGCTGCAGTGCAACAAGTGATGTAAAAGTGTTTAATTTTCTCAAGGCTGGACCGGTGTGAACTCACAGAAAGATGCTGTGAGGCGTTGGCCTCAATTTTAAGATCGAAATCCTCACACCTGAGAGAGCTGCACCTGAACAACAATGACCTGCAGGATTCAGGAGTGAAGCTGCTCTCTGTTGGACTGGGTGATTTACACTGTAAACTGGAGATACTGAGGTCAGTATTACTGGGTATTCCATGAAGATAGTGAGATCACTATTCCTCAGCATTCCACTCTGCTACCCGCATTTTGCAGCATTTTGCTGTAATTGTAACGAATTTGGTTTACCGTACAATGGCATGGAATATTTTTATGGGATGTTTTGCTTATCTGACTTTTGATTTGAAAAGGGAAAACCCACACCACATGTGCAGAAAGATCCACTTTTTGACTAATAAAATACATTAAGTTACCATTAAACTCATCTAATAGGGTTAGTCTGTCTTTCAGTTTGATGTAGCTGTTGGTGTTGGGTGATAATTTGGTAATTTAATTAGTCTCTATCAGTCTCATATTGCACCAAATTCCTTTAACTAAAGTAGCTGATCTGAACAAATACCAGAAATCTATCTGAAGCCTTTGGTGATTCTTTGGATAGTATGCTGGGTTCTGTCTGGTCAGAATGACCACAAGACAGCAATTGATAAACATCAAACAATGGACACACTTGATGAGGGTGTTAAGCAGGTAGGAAAAGTTTGAATGTGATATGTCAGTGTGCGACGTGTGTATGACAGTGTCCACGGCTGAGTATGTGTGCGCGTACCCACTGCAGTATATATGTACATGTTACCGTGGCAGAGCACGTGCGCACTGCAGAGTACGTGTAACGTGGCAGTGGCCGAATACATGTGCAGGGGAAGGGCAGTGCTGATGAACACACCATGGAATCCAGCGGGAGATTCAAATCCGAGCAGGAATTCCGCTATTCTGTGGACTTAATGTAATAATGAACTTGAATTCCCTGAACGGCACCACATGTTGCCGGTAATGTTTTGTTTTGGTTTTTTTATATTTGAAAAAGCATCTTAACATTTAATGGCAGTATCAGAATGGCAGAGACTAATTACTGGCAGAACTGAAATAAATACAGTGTTACAAAGCCACTTCATCCTATTAATTAATTGTCTCTGTGCCATTTATGACCTTCTTTTTTTCTTTTCTTAATTAATGTATTTGTTTATGTAAGATGAGGAAATGCACAACAAGTTGACAGTCGTGTATGTGTCTGTAAGAGAGGGGGCCAGACAGCTATTCTGGTTTGATGCATTAAAAGAAGCAGAGCATGCAGGTTGGCCCAGCCCAGGATGGGAGAGATCAGTGAGCAGGAGGGCGGCCCCTGGAGATTGGCCCCTGGAGGGCCCACACCAGCTCAGTGACCCACCCCTGTGCACCGGGTGACCTGCCCCACACAGAGGCACAGGGCAAAAGTGGAAGTGACAGAATTGGGGGGTCACACAAATACATTAACGTGCTCTGCCACGGTAACATGTACATATGGTGAAGTCAATATTTATGAGGTGCCGTAGAAGGTTGAGGAAAGCAAAGAAATAGTGAAAGAAATGACAGAGAAAAAAGGAAAAGGGTGAAGAAGGGATTGTACTTATATGTGGTGGTGGATGATAGGTGGCATAGATGTCAAAAAGAAAAAAAAATGACACATATTTAACACATGCACAAATATATATATGATACAAATTGGGCCCCTTCGTAAAATATGCCATGAAATGCACTGCAGCATATGCACAGACGTGCAAGGCACAGATTGGGCATGCACAGTCAAATCACAGTCTCACAAAGTAAAGGTATCGGAAAACTTTATTGGGGTACGGATGGCATTTTTGGGCAGCGCGCAGTTACAGTACATATAAATATAAAAATAAATTTTGAAAATGAAATTTTTATTCTTATCGCAGAAAATTCTTGTAAAATATAAACTCATATATCGGGAGCTCAGAAAGCAAGAACTACTTATAATGAATTTGGCACATAGTTCATTTCATAAATTATTTACAGGTTTCACAAAGACCAAAGTGCATGATATGTGTCACTCTGGGCAGCATGGTGGCACAGTGGTTAGCGCTGCTGTCTCCCAGCAAGAAGGTCCTGGGTTTGGTCCCTCGACCATAGGACCTTTCTCTGTGTGGAGTTCGCACACTCTCCACGTTTTCACTGGGGGCTCCAGTTTCCTCCCACAGTCCAAAAGCATGCAGGGCAGGTTGATTGGTGAGTCTAAATTGGCCCTGTGGTGTGTTGGCGCCTGCCCAGTGTTGGTTCCCACCTGCGCCCTGTGTTCCTGGGATAGGCTCTGGTCCCCCCCCACGACCCAAGTTGGGATTAAGCGTTTACAGTGAGGGATGGACGTGTCCTTCAACAAAAAGTTAAAATGGAGTTGCGGGGTTACAGCTTTTGGATGTCCTGTGTTCCACCTGCATAGAAAAATAATGGCGATCCATTCATTTTCTTCAATCGCTTATCCAATTACAAAATAGACACGCAGAACACCCATAATGCATGTCAGCAGTGACATAATAAACACAAACAGCTTCTCCTACTTCCTTATATGCCACAAGCTTATCAGCCCTCGATTCATATTAGAAAAAAATTAGTGAAGCAGGAAACAGCCATTCATTCAAAAACACATACAGAAGGTTTGTGTAAGTTAGCAGAGTTAATAGGATTTCTTAAAGAATATCTGTTAAAAAAAGCTGTTAAACACGCTGAATTAAAGATGTGGATAAAAAATATATTGGACACCAATTTAATTTTCAATTTAAAGTTATTTTAAATAAATGAATTGTTTGTAAAAAAAAATAAAAATACTTACATGGACCCTGTACTCTTCGTTTGAATGCAGTGTTCCAGTGCAAAAAGTGGATTTAAAAGTGTTACATTTTCTCAAGGCTCGACCAGTGTGGACTCACAGAGAAATGCTATGAGGCATTGGCCTCAGCTTTAAGACACCTGAGAGAGCTGGACCTGAACGACAATAGCCTGAAGGATTCAGGAATGAAGCTACTCTCTGCTGGAATGGTGAATTTACAGTGTAAACTGGAGATACTGAGTTCAGTATTACTGGGTATTCCACACTGTAAACTGGGGACACTGAGGTCAGTTGTTTCTGGGTATTCCACACTGTAAACTGGAGATACTGAGGACAGTATCACTGGGAATTTCCCAGTGTGGTCTCCTTGCCCTTGACATCCCTACCAGGCCTCATCCTCACTGCTATCAGGGTCTGCTTGGGGCAGGACTGTGAATGAGGGAGGAAAGTGGTGGACAGGAGGAGACTGAGGCTGCTACCTGACCTCAGATCTGGGCTCACATAACATGACACTATCAATTTATTTATTTGTACATTTACTGCAATTCAGTTTCAA